TCAGTATATCTAGACGTGTGAAGAGAGTTAGAGAAGTGTCATTTCGGGGTGTACAAGCCTACTACTATATAAGTATATCTAGAAGTGTGAAGAGAGTTAGGGAAGTGTCATCTGGGGGTGTACAAGCCTACTACTATATAACTATATCTAGAATTGGAAGAGAGTTAGAGAAGTGTCATCTGTGGGTGTAAAAGCCTACTACTGTATAACTTTATCTAGACGCCAATTAAAAGAGAGTTAGAGAAGCGTCAATTGGGGGTGTACAAGCCTACTACTATATAACTATATCTATACACCAATGTGTGAAGAGAGTTAGGGAAGCGTCATCTGGGGTTGTACAAGCCTACTGCTATATAACTATATCTAGACACCAATGTGTGAAGAGAGTTCGGGAAGCGTCATCTGGGGGTGTACAAGCCTACTACTATATAACTATATCTAGACACCAATGTGTGAAGAGAGTTAGAGAAGCGTCATCTGGGGGTGTACAAGCCTACTACTATATAACTATATCTAGACACCAATGTGTGAAGAGAGTTAGGGAAGCGTCATCTGGGGGTGTACAAGCCTACTTCTATATAAGTATATCTAGACACCAATGTGTGAAGAGAGTTAGAGAAGTGTCATCTGGGGGTGTACAAGCCTACTACTATATAACTATATCTAGACACCAATGTGTGAAGAGAGTTAGAGAAGCGTCAATTGGGGGTGTACACGGCTACTACTATATAACTATATCTAGACACCAATGTGTGAAGAGAGTTAGGGAAGCGTCATCTGGGGTTGTACAAGCCTACTGCTATATAACTATATCTAGACACCAATGTGTGAAGAGAGTTAGAGAAGCGTCATCTGGGGGTGTACAAGCCTACTACTATATAACTATACCTAGACACCAATGTGTGAAGAGAGTTAGGGAAGCGTCATGTGGGGCTTTACAAGCCTACTACTATATAACAATGTCTAGTCACCAATGTGTGAAGGGAGTTAGAGAAGCGTCATCTGGGGGTGTACAAGCCTACTGCTCTATAACTATATCTAGACACCAATGTGTGAAGGGAGTTAGAGAAGCGTCATCTGGGGGTGTACATGCCTACTACTATATAACTATATCTAGACACCAATGTGTGAAGGGAGTTAGAAAAGCGTCATGTGGGGGTGTACAAGCCTACTACTATATAACTATATCTAGACACCAATGTGTGAAGGGAGTTAGGGAAGCGTCATGTGGGGGTGTACAAGCCTACTACTATATAACTATATCTAGACACCAATGTGTGAAGGGAGTTAGAGAAGCGTCATCTGGGGTTGTACAAGCCTATTATTTGTATCGAGCAGTAATTGATTGCCAATCGAAATAAACATAGCATACAACCTTTTACATGCTGATGATAGTACCTTGTATCCATTAAGTACAAAGATTTATGCCTATGACTCCTTGTTCAGTGTTTGCTCAATACAGCTTACCAATACAACAAAGGCATATTGAAACCTTTATCGACCCTATTCCAGTACACATAAAAATATCTACAGCTCCAGCATATGTAGCATGCGGTCTTAGACAATATAACAATTTACATATGAAATCGAGATGCATTATTTAGAATAAGCTTAAGCGGTCATCCAAACTGTGGATGGGACAACATATGTGGACACTCTGTCAGAAAACAACCGAACGAGTAAATATACATGAGTGAATAAGTAGCAGGAGCACAATATTGTCAGGCGAGTCGCTTTCTGGAATATGTTAGTTTTATCACGGCTTAACAGTTTTGATGTGGGAGGAAATCTCATGTTATTCATATCGGAAAAGTTACAGTAATGCTAGGTATGTTACAAATGTCTACTACCCCGATCTGCCATAGTTACAGTAATGCTAGGAATGTTACAACTGTCTAGTGCCCCGATCTGCCATAGTTACAGTAATGCTAGGAATGTTATAACTGTCTAGTGCCACGATCTGCCATAGTTACAATAATGCTAAGTATGTTACAACTGTCTACTACCCCGATCTGCCATAGTTACAGTAATGCTAGGAATGTTACAACTGTCTAGTGCCCCGATCTGCCATAGTTACAGTAATGCTAGGAATGTTACAAATGTCTTCTACCCCGATCTGCCATAGTTACAGTAATGCTAGGAATGTTACAACTGTCTACTACCCCGATCTGCCATAGTTACAGTAATGCTAGGTATGTTACAACTGTCTACTACCCCGATCTGCCATAGTTACAGTAATGCTAGGAATGTTACAACTGTCTACTACCCCGATCTGCCATAGTTACAGTAATGCTAGGTATGTTACAACTGTCTACTACCCCGATCTGCCATAGATACAGTAATGCTAGGAATGTTATAACTGTCTAGTGCCCTGATCTGCCATAGTTACAGTAATGCTAGGAATGTTACAACTGTCTACTACCCCGATCTGCCATAGTTACAGTAATGCTAGGTATGTTACAACTGTCTACTACCCCGATCTGCCATAGTTACAGTAATGCTAGGAATGTTATAACTGTCTAGTGCCCCGATCTGCCATAGTTACAGTAATGCTAGGAATGTTATAACTGTCTAGTGCCCCGATCTGAAGTTCGGGTTACAGTAATGATGGGTATGTTATAACTGTCTAGTACCCCGATCTGTTATAACAGTTAGAGTAATGGCGGGTATGTTATAGCCTTCTAGCACCCCGATATGTTAAAACAGTTACAGTAACGATGGGTATGTTGAACGGTCTAGTCCCCCGATATGCTGTAACAGTTACAGTAATGCGGGATATGTTATAACTGTCTACTATCCCGATCTGCTTTAACGGTTACAGTAATGTTAGGTATGTTATTGCTGTCTAGCACCCCGATCTACTGTTCCAGTTACATTAATGATGGGTATGTTATAACTGTCTAGTACCCCGATCTGCCATAACAGTTACAGTAATGCTAGGTATGTTATAACTGTCCTGTGCCCCGATCTGCTGGTACAGTTACAGTTACAGGAATGATGGAGATGTTATAACTGTCCAGTATCCCGATCTGCTGTTAAAGTTACAGTTACAGGAATGATGGATATGTTATACCTGTCCAGAATCCCGATCTGCTGGTACAGTTACAGTTACTGGAATGATGGATATGTTATAACTGTCCAGTATCCCGATCTGCTGTTACAGTTACAGGAATGATGGATATGTTATAACTGTCCAGAATCCCGATCTGCTGGTAGAGTTACAGTTACAGGAATGATGGATATGTTATAAATGTCCAGTATCCCGATCTGCTGTTACAGTTACAGTTACAGGAATGATGGACATGTTATAACTGTCCAGAATCCCGATCTGCTGTTACAGTTACAGGAATGATGGAGATGTTATAACTGTCCAGTATCCCGATCTGCTGGTACGGTTACTGGAATAATGGATATGTTATAACTGTCCAGTGACCCGATCTGCTGGTACGGTTACTGGAATTATGAATATGTTATAACTGTCCAGTGCCCCGATCCGCTGGTACAGTTACAGGAATGATGGAGATGTTATAACTATCCAGTGCCCCGATCTGCTGGTACAGTTACTGGAATGATGGATATGTTATAACTGTCCAGTGCCCCGATCTGCTGGTACAGTTACTGGAATGATGGAGATGTTATAACTGTCCAGTATCCCGATCTGCTGGTACAGTTAAAGTTACAGGAATGATGGAGATGTTATAACTACCCAGTACCCCGATCTGCTGTTACAGTTACAGTTACAGAAATGATGGGATGCTATAAATTGTCCAGTATCCCGATCTGCTGGTCCAGTTACAGGAATGACAGTGCCCCGAATCGCTGGTACAGTTACAGGTGCTGGTGCAGATAAATATATATATATATAACCATATAACCGTATAAACATTAATAGAAGAATGTATGTTTAGAACTGATGTTTCCAATGTGTACCAATTAACGATAAAACTAACAATCAGTGTTACCACAGAGTTACTTTTGTTCTTATCACGATATGCTTCACGTGACTTCCAAGCATTACACGCTAATCCTGCACGAGACAAATAGTGCATCTCAAGTCGGGGATCTATGACATCACATGTGATTTTCGCACAGCATACCCGTTTGTTCGTTGTTGCAGCGAACCAATATAATATGCCTTGAATATGAGTAATTCTTCATGTATTCACCATTATGTATGGTATTCGCTTTTCTTTTGGCGATTTATATATATATATATATATATATATATACTGTTAAAACCGACGTTAAAACCAACTCACACTCACCTTGTACTTTATCTTTCGACGACACTAAAAAGAAAATAATCTGCACCGTGTTTATCGCGCTTAAAGCTTCAGGAGTTACCTCCCTTAGATATGTAGAAATCAATAATGTCCTGTGATAATCGGAACGTTCCGCATCTTTATATTTTTACCAACGGCTATTATGAATGACAGTGGTATTTAGTGTGCATGAATGTCTTATAGAAGGTTCATGTGGAAACACTCACAATTTCTCAAATCAGATTTGTATTTAACGTTGCTGTGAGGAGCGTATAGTTTTCTAAACAACCCTGTGGTTTGAAGCGGCCGAATATATCTCATCCATGTGTGCGTCAATTGCTTAAATCGACAGGCCATACAGAATACACACGAAGTAATATAGGTATGTACAAGAACCCATCACTATCATCGTTGTACCTGTATACATAAAAGTATCACATAAGACAAGGAATACCATGAGCGAGGTTGGGAACAGGGACAGGGACGGGAACAGGGACAGGGACGGGGACGGGGACGGGGACGGAAACAGGGACAGGGACGGGGACGGAAACAGGGACAGGGGCAGGGACAGGGACAGGGACAGGGACGTGGACAGGGACAGGGACGGGGACGGGAAAGGGACGGGGACGGGGACGGGGACGGAAACAGGGACAGGGACAGGGACAGGGACAGGGACAGGGACGGGGACAGGGACAGGGACGGGGACAGGGACAGGGACAGGGACGGGGACGGGGACAGGGACAGGGACAGGGACAGGGACGGGGACAGGGACGGGACAGGGACGGGGACAAGGACAAGGACAGGGACGGGGACGGGGACGGGGACGGGGACGGGGACGGGGACGGGGACGGGGACAGGGACGGGGACGGGGACGGGGACAAGGACAAGGACAGGGACAGGGACAAGGACAGGAACAGGGACAGGGACAGGGACAGGGACGGGGACAGGGACGGGGACGGGGACGGGGACAAGGACGGGGACAGGGACGGGGACGGGGACGGGGACAAGGACAGGGACAGGGACAGGGACAAGGACGGGGACGGGGACGGGGACGGGGACGGGGACGGGGACAGGGACAGGGACAGAGACGGGGACGGGGACGGGGACAGGGACAGAGACGGGGACGGGGACGGGGAAGGGGACAAGGACAGGGACAGGGACAGGGACAAGGACAGGGACGGGGACGGGGACGGGGACGGGGACAGGGACGGGGACAGGGACAGGGACGGGGACGGGGACGGGGACAAGTACAGGGACAGGGACGGGGACAGGGACGGGGACGGGGACGGGGACGGGGACGGGGACAAGGACAGGGACAAGGACAGGGACGGGGACGGGGACGGGGACGGGGACAAGGACAGGGACGGGGACGGGGACGGGGACAAGTACAGGGACAGGGACGGGGACAGGGACGGGGACGGGGACGGGGACGGGGACAGGGACAAGGACAGGGACGGGGACAGGGACGGGGACGGGGACGGGGACGGGGACGGGGACAAGGACAGGGACAGGGACAGGGACGGGGACAGGGACGGGGACGGGGACAGGGACGGGGACAGGGACGGGGACAGGGACGGGGACGGGGACGGGGACGGGGACGAGGACGGGGACAGGGACAGGGACAGAGACGGGGACGGGGACGGGGACGGGGACGGGGGCGGGGACGGGGACGAGGACAGAGTATTTTAAACGATTCTCCGTTCATGATCTTTCGGGCGACGATTTACAATAGCCTACACTAGTAATGCCAAGCACCATAGGCTTAACTGGCATAATTGTTCATCAAATGTATTGTCACATATACATCTTTTATAAACATAGTTTATCATATACAGAAAAAAACCTGGATATGTCGCCGCTATTGACTGTACAGAACTGCTGTAGGTACAAGTCTCGGATTCTTCTTTACCTCGGTGTGCCAGCACGCTACCCGTGTTCATGCGTCAACAAAAGGGATAGATGCCGACATGTAGGACCTGCATCGATTTGGACTTCACTCCCTTCTTGAAGGTCACACACCATGATATGACTGACATACTGTTGATTTCGAAGCAAAGACACAAATTGAGCTACATTGCATCCACCGTGTAGCAATGTATGGCAGTAGACATATTCGTTCTCATCCTTCTGCTGCACGATAGGTGATCCGTGCTAGCCGATTGTGTATACTTGTATCTAGACAGGTCATTCGTGCTGCCTGAGTGTGTATACTTGTATCTAGACAGGTCATCCATGCTAGCTGAGTGTGTATACTTGTATCTAGACAGGTCATCCGTGCTGGCTGAGTGTGTATACTTGTATCTAGACAGGTCATCCGTGCTGCCTGAGTGTGTATACTTGTATCTAGACAGGTCATCCGTGCTGCCTGAGTGTGTATACTTGTACCTAGACAGGTCATCCGTCCTGGCTGAGTGTGTATACTTGTACCCAGACAGGTCATCCGTGCTGCCTGAGTGTGTATACTTGTATCTAGACAGGTCATCCGTGCTGCCTGAGTGTGTATACTTGTATCTAGACAGGTCATCCGTGCTGGCTGAGTGTGTATACTTGTATCTAGACAGGTCATCCGTGCTGCCTGAGTGTGTATACTTGTATCTAGACAGGTCATCCGTGCTGCCTGAGTGTGTATACTTGTACCTAGACAGGTCATCCGTCCTGGCTGAGTGTGTATACTTGTACCCAGACAGGTCATCCGTGCTGCCTGAGTGTGTATACTTGTATCTAGACAGGTCATCCGTGCTGCCTGAGTGTGTATACTTGTATCTAGACAGGTCATCCGTGCTGCCTGAGTGTGTATACTTGTATCTAGACAGGTCATCCGTGCTGCCTGAGTGTGTATACTTGTATCTAGACAGGTCATCCGTCCTGGCTGAGTGTGTATACTTGTATCTAGACAGGTCATCCATGCTTACTGAGTGTGTATACTTGTACCTAGACAGGAGATCGATCCGTGCTGGCTGATTGTGTGTATACTTGTACCCAGGCAGGAGATCCGCGCTGACTGATCGTGGATACTTGTACCCAGACAGGAGATCCGTGCTAGCTGAGTGTGTATACTTGTAGCCAGACAGGAGATCCGTGCTAGCTGAGTGTGTGTATACTTGTACCCAGACAGGTGGTCCGTGCTGGCTGATTGTGTATACTTGTACCCAGACAGGTGGTCCGTGCTGGCTGATTGTGTGTATACTTGTACCAAGACAGGTGGTTCGTGCTGGCTGATTGTGTGTATACTTGTACCCAGACAGGTGGTCCGTGCTGGCTGATTGTGTGTATACTTGTACCCAGACAGGTGGTCCGTGCTGGCTGATTGTGTATATACTCGTAACCAGACAGGTGGTCCGTGTTGGCTGATTGTGTGTATACTTGTACCAAGACAGGTGGTTCGTGCTGGCTGATTGTGTGTATACTTGTACCCAGACAGGTGATCCGTGCTGGCTGATTGTGTGTATACTTGTACCCAGACAGGTGGTCCGTGCTGGCTGATTGTGTATATACTCGTAACCAGACAGGTGGTCCGTGCTGGCTGATTGTGTATATACTCGTAACCAGACAGGTGGTCCGTGTTGGCTGATTGTGTGTATACTTGTACCCAGACAGGTGGTTCGTGCTGGCTGATTGTGTGTATACTTGTACCCAGACAGGTGGTCCGTGCTGGCTGATTGTGTGTATACTTGTACCCAGACAGGTGGTCCGTGCTGGCTGATTGTGTGTACTTGTACCCAGACAGGTGGTCCGTGTTGGCTGATTGTGTGTATACTTGTACCCAGACAGGTGGTCCGTGTTGGCTGATTGTGTGTACTTGTACCCAGACAGGTGGTTCGTGCTAGCTGAGTGTGTATACTTGTACCGAGACAGGAGATCCGTTCTGGCTGATTGTGTATACTTGTACCCAGACAGGAGATCCGTGCTGGCTGATTGTGTAAACTTGTACCTAGACAGGAGATCGATCCGTGCTGGCTGATTGTGTGTATACTTGTACCCAGACAGGAGATCCGTGCTAGCGTAGTGTGTATACTTCTACCCAGACAGGAGATCCGTGCTGGCTGATTGTGTGTATACTTGTACCCAGGCAGGAGATCCGTGCTGACTGATCGTGGATACTTGTACCAAGAAAGGAGATCCGTGCTAGCTGAGTGTGTATACTTGTAGCCAGACAGGAGATCCGTGCTAGCTGAGTGTGTGTATACTTGTACCCAGACAGGTGGTCCGTGCTGGCTGATTGTGTATACTTGTACCCAGACAGGTGGTCCGTGCTGGCTGATTGTGTGTAAACTTGTACCCAGTCAGGTGGTCCGTGTTGGCTGATTGTGTGTATACTTGTACGCAGACAGGTGGTCCGTGCTGGCTGATTGTGTGTATACTTGTACCCAGACAGGTGGTCCGTGCTGGCTGATTGTGTGTGTATACTTGTGCCCAGACAGGTGGTCCGTGCTGGCTGATTGTGTGTATACTTGTACCCAGACAGGTGGTCCGTGCTGGCTGATTGTGTGTATACTTGTACCCAGACAGGTGGTTCGTGCTGGCTGATTGTGTGTGTACTTGTACCCAGACAGGTGGTTCGTGCTAGCTGAGTGTGTATACTTGTACCCAGATAGGTGGTCCGTGCTGGCTGATTGTGTGTATACTTGTACCCAGTCAGGTGGTCCGTGTTGGCTGATTGTGTGTATACTTGTACGTAGACAGGAGATCCGTGCTGGCTGATTGTGTATATTTGTACGTAGACAGGAGATCCGTGCTGGCTGATTGTGTATATTTGTACGTAGACAGGAGATCCGTGCTGGCTGATTGTGTATATTTGTACCTAGACAGGAGATCCGTGCTGGCTGAGTGTGTATACTTGTACGTAGACAGGAGATCCGTGCTGGCTTATTGTGTATACTTGTACCCAGACAGGAGATCGGTGCTGGCTGATTGTGTATACTTGTACCTAGACAGGAAATCTGTGCTGGCAGATTGTGTATACTTGAACCCAGACAGGTGATCCGTGCTGGCTGATTGTGCATACTTGTACCCAGACAGGAGATCCGTGCTGGCTGGTTGTGTATACTTGTGCCTAGGCAGGAGATCTGTGCTGACTGATTGTGTATACTTGAACCAAGACAGGAAATCCGTGGTGGCCGATTGTGTATACTCGACGCCACATATATGATCGACCCAATGTTACATGACCGGAAAATTTAGCGGCACTGGGAATTAACACCATGTCACGTGATGGACACATGTACCGACACCAGATACTAACACCATGTCACATCATCAACACATGTACCGACACCATATACTAACACCATGTCACATGATCAACACATGTACCGATACCAGATACTAACACCATGTCACATGATCAACACTTGTACCGACACCAGGTACTAATACAATGTCACATGATCAACACTTGTACCGACACCAGGTACTAATACCATGTCACATGATCAACACATGTACCGACACCAGGTAGTAACACCATGTCACATGATCAACACATGTATCGACACCAGGTGCTAACACTGTGTCACATGATCAAAGTATGTACCGACACCAGGTGCTAACACTGTGTCACATGATCAAAGTATGTACCGACACCAGGTACTAACACCATGTCACATGATCAAAGTATGTACCGACACCAGGTAGTAACGCCATGTCACATGATCAAAGTATGTACCGACACCAGGTAGTAACGCCATGTCACATGATCAAAGAATGTACCCATACCAGGTACTAACAGCATGTCACATGATCGACACCAGGTAGTAACACCATGTCACATGATCAAAGTATGTACCGACACCAGGTAGTAACACCATGTCACATGATCAAAGTATGTACCGACACCAGGTAGTAACGCCATGTCACATGATCAAAGTATGTACCGACACCAGGTAGTAACGCCATGTCACATGATCAACGAATGTACCCACACCAGGTACTAACAGCATGTCACATGATCGACACCAGGTAGTAACACCATGTCACATGATCGACACATGTTCCGACACCAGGTACTAATACCTGTCACATGATCAAAGTATGTACCGACACCAGGTACTTACACCATGTCACATGATCGACACATGTTCCGGCACCAGGTACTAATACCTGCCACATGATCAAAGTATATACCGACGCCAGGTGCTAACACCATGTCACATGATCAACACTTGTACCGACACCAGGTACAAAAACCATGTCACATGATCAACACATGTACCGATACCAGATACTAACACCATGTCACATGATCAACACTTGTACCGCCACCAGGTACTAACACCATGTCACATGATCAACACATGTACCGACGCCAGGTACTAATACCATGTCACATGATGGACACCAGATACTAACACCATGTCACATGATCAACACTTGTACCGACACCAGATACTAACACCATGTCACATGATCAACACATGTACCGACACCAGGTACTAACACCATGTCACATGATCAACACTTGTACCGATACCAGATACTAACACCATGTCACATGATCAACACATGTACCGATACCAGAATACTAACACCATGTCACATGATCAACACTTGTACCGACTCCAGGTACTAATACCATGTCACATGATCAACACATGTACCGAGACCAGATACTAACACCATGTCACATGATCAACACATGTACCGAAACCAGGTACTAACACCATGTCACATGATCAACACTTTTACCGACACCAGATACTAACACCATGTCACATGATCAACACTTTTACCGACACCAGGTACTAATACCATGTCACATGATGGACACCAGATACTAACACCATGTCACATGATCAACACTTTTACCGACACCAGGTACTAATACCATGTCACATGATCAACACTTGTACCGACACCAGGTACTAATACCATGTCACATGATGGACACCAGGTACTAATACCATGTCACATGATCAACACTTGTACCGACACCAGGTACTAATACCATGTCACATGATGGACACCAGATACTAACACCATGTCACATGATCAACACATGTACCGACGACAGATACTAACACAATGTCACATGATCAACACATGTACCGACACCAGATACTAACACCATGTCACATGATCAACACATGTACCGACGACAGATACTAACACCATGTAACATGATCAACACTTTTACCGACAGCAGTACTAATACCATGTCACATGATCAACACATGTACCGACACCAGGTACTAACACCATCTAACATGATCAACACGTGTACCGACACCAGGTGCTAACACTGTGTCACATGATCAAAGTATGTACCGACACCAGGTGCTAACACTGTGTCACATGATCAAAGTATGTACCGACACCAGGTACTAACACCATGTCACATGATCAAAGTATGTACCGACACCAGGTAGTAACGCCATGTCACATGATCAAAGTATGTACCGACACCAGGTAGTAACGCCATGTCACATGATCAACGAATGTACCCACACCAGGTACTAACAGCATGTCACATGATCGACACCAGGTAGTAACACCATGTCACATGATCAAAGTATGTACCGACACCAGGTAGTAACACCATGTCACATGATCAAAGTATTACCGACACCAGGTACTAACACCATGCCACATGATCAAAGTATGTACCGATACCAGGTACTAACACCATGTCACATGATCGTCACATATTCTGACACCAGGTACTAACACCATGTCACATGATCGACACATGTTCCGACACCAGGTACTAATACCTGTCACATGATCAAAGTATGTACCGACACCAGGTACTTACACCATGTCACATGATCGACACATGTTCCGACACCAGGTACTAATACCTGTCACATGATCAAAGTATGTTCCGACACCAGGTACTAATACCAAGTCACATGATCGAAATACGTATGCGACATATGCTTGGCAAAAGTCTTGAGTCTCGTGTGCGTTTCTAAGGGAATACATGTGTTTAAGATTCCCATTTTTTTAGAATACAAATATGCCTCAGAGAACCCGTTGACTCATTTTGAACAAATGAATAATAAGGTAGACTATTATCAAACTGTGCAAACACATTCTTTAAGCCCTACTGATCTGCCACTAGCATTGATTAAACACAAGCCAAGCTATTCAGCCTGTACAACCAATGTTATCATGGTCACTGGACTGAATACAATTTTGAACTGATTAATTACCCCGTAATCTTAAGGGAAAAGTATACACAATACACAAATCATTTCTTATCTCACAAACGATTGATACATTAATTGTCTGTCGTCAAGAATGGAGTTGACTTGTATAAGTAAATGTAATAAGACATCTATGAGCGTGTGCATGTACAGGTGTGTATGTATATATATACCACGCACAAACCGGGCCGCGGCACTGTCATACATGTCTACTAGATCCTTTCACTTTCAAGTATTGCAGACTCCAGTGTGAATACGTCAAGACACTACTGAATGGTGAACATTCTAAGGTAGGATGGTTGTTTTTGCTTGATGTCTCAATAGAGTTTTCGCAGCTGAAAAGAGTGTACTTAATTAGATCACATCAACATTAAAGGATGAAAAGAGTTAATTGATTTTAATACGAAAAAGCAAAGAATTTGTTCTTACAAAATGTTTTTCATGAGTAACAGGATGCAGTTTATTTTTTTCGCGATACACACTGGTATTTCAGAACAGAACGGGTCTAAAGTGTGTCACTCTCCTTGTAAGAGGCGATGAAGATGGGGTAGAATTTACGGCGTTTAATCGGCCGCGTAAAATGCTGTTCATGCTATTAATTACTGGTTTCCGTGGTACATATTCGATAATTTAAAGGCTGCTATATCACATTGTTGATTGAATTAACAATTCACTCCCACCCGTTTTCTTGTTGTAAAGAATATTTCATGTATTATGAACGCTATGAAATGTACCATTAACAATTTGCAGCGCCGTCGTAAAATCATTGCACTGAATAGACATGCATTGTCCATATGTTATACATAACTCATATTTCGTAGCAATGATGTTATAATATGGAACGCTGTCATGTTGCAAGGCTTTGATTTGCTACTAAAATTATTACACAAACATAATATGTGTTTTGTTCCAATATATGTATCCATGAGGCGGTTATTTGAAATGGAGAACGATATTTTCAAGGCACCATTCCCACCTTCTATCCGATTATCACCCTTGGGTTAAAGGTCCGAGCAGCACTCATGTTCTCTGGATTCACCGAGGTGGTTCACTGATGCACGACTTTGCGCCCACATTAAGCTGACACAAAGTATTATCTGGCACAGTGTTCAAAGTCACTCTAACACTCACTAACATACTGTCGAAAATAAAAAACAAAACATTATCCATTTCTTCAATCATGAGTGACATTATTTTACAAAAAACATCGTATTAACCTATCTGAAAAAGAAAAGTTGTTTTGTTTCAAGTGACAACTTACATATTTGATATGACATGTTTATCAAAGTCATGCATTACCAGTTTCTTGTTTTAGGGGGTGCGATACAACAATGTGACCGGAATTAGTCCCATTCATTAGTGCTAATTTTGATATTACCTATCTGATTTAGTGGTGAGCGACGATGCCTATATCCAGCGGTGCGCTTGACTGGCCGGTAAGTTACTATACCAAACCGACAGCTGTCGAAGACGTCGCCAACGGATACGACAACCTTGACCCCTGGTCACGTCGTTATGCCTACCGTAACTGGACATGGAAAAGGAAGCGAAACACAAGAAAGAAGAAAAAGGTATATGTTGGCGTATTCTGTGCATATGTGCTTAACATTTACAAATTCAATTTTATCAATGTAACATTTCTCTGTGACGTTTGAGAATAATGTTGTTAGCTTATTTGTTGTTTAAGGCCGGACTCAGCAATATTCAAGCTATATGACGGCAGTATGTAAATAATCGAGTATGGACCAAACAAACCAATCTATACAATTGGGATACGATTACATGCATCAACCAAGTCAGCGAGCCTGACCACCCGATCCTGTTAGTCGCCTCTTACGACAAGCATAGACGCCTCTTAAGACAAGCAATTCTAACTCGGATTTTCATGGGTTCGTTTCAAAATAAGTATCTGTTCAGTCAAGATATATGTACTATGCCAAAGGACATGTATTCGCAACGCATAATCAGCTTTAAGCTGAAGAACAAAAAACGATTTTAGCAGTAGAAAGTTGCTGTTGTGACAAAGAATGATGACAAAATGACATTATATGATTATCTCATGCCTAAATACACAGAACAACTTTCTTGATTTTGTGGACATTTCGAATATGTTTTTTCAAAGTGTATCGGTAACCTTTGCAGGCACTTTTGAGAATAAAACAAAGACAAAATATGAAGAAATGTCTTTTATAATCCAAATACCTAAGGGCAGTATAAATCCTAATCCAATGTCATGACTCACATACATAGGACTGTAAGACCATTCATTTTATGAGCATACAATGATGTCGCCTATAGACATTAAATACAGCAATTGCGCGCTGTATTCCAAACACGAGGGCACACATGGAAATACACTATACAGTTATAATTCAAATTTAAATTTGGTGTGGCTGCAAGTCCACTTGAGTCGTGCCTCCCTTTAAATGCACGGTTGACTTTGCAATCAATACAGAGTAAACATGACTTCTATTGACCAGTCCATGAAGTGTTACACGGACACCTTGCTAGATGTTATGGGGACATATCAAAAGAGATGCTATGATAATGTTAGTATTACGAAGATCGGTCAAACCAATTTTACTTTGACCCAAGGAAAAAGATTCCCCTGAAGATAGACGGCGTCATCGTAGGCGATGTTGCTGTTGTGTGTTGTGGTGGTTGACTGCGCTGCTTCTGATCATCCTGACTCTCGTTCTGTTCTTGGTGTTCTGGATCCGTACGTAAAACTGCTTGATACAGTGTGTATCTGATCATAACAGTGAATATCGAACAGTGTGGAATATTTCACGACATAAAACTCTTATATGTGATAGCGGTGTCTTAATCTGCTTACGCTTATAATACGTCATGTTTATAGGTTACGGTCTCGTAAATGAGCACGAGGTTAAATTATCATAAGTCCTTCAACACGGCGTCCTTTCGCTCATGTTGGTAAGTCTATATATCACTTGATTATGAGCGTATCTCACCTTCTGTCCCCTAAACAATATCCCAAAGGTTGACGGGGAGGAGTCAACCAGGCGAATCAGGGTCACAAAGCTTCAAACCTGTGTTTCTCTCTTTGTGAAGCGGGAGATTTTATACGTAAGCATGAAATTCAAAAGACTTATATATTCCTCAACGATTCTAAAGAGAATAAAATCATATAATTGAAAGGAGTAGTTCAGAATTGTCTAACTCCATTGACTCTAGCTTGAGTGCCGATACCATTAGCGACGATATGTCGAGTAAATCATTTTTTCCTCGAAACCAGATTAAGACGTTATCAAACCTTCACAAAAGAGGGGGTCCACAGACATGTGGATTTTACCACCTCATTTAGAAAGAACACCTGCACAGGCAGTTCTCAAAGTTTTCTAAAGACAATGTGTTAAACTCTTGTCTAACCTGTGGTAGATTCTGAAAAAAGTCAGACGCCAAGTTCCTGATCTGGATTTGTATGAATTGTTAGACAGAGAGGAAAAGTCAGTTTACCTTGTTGGCGAAATGCGTCCATGAATTTTCGCAGGCGTCTTTCCATTTTGTCAAGCGCAATTTTAACCAAACTGGTAAAAAATAATACACAATCCTTGGATTCTTTAGACCGTAAAGTGTTTTCAGATTTTATCCAAGACAAACTCGGATGAAACCCTCACCACAAATTCCTATTTCTCAGGACAACCTGGCTGTTCTCGACAAAGATTCAGAACATGTTACTGAAAGGGGAGATAGAGGAGGTATCTAAGGATATGAATCCGAATCCGTTTCCCATCGCAGTTCTGTTTGTCGTCCCCATATAATTGCAAGACGGGGGACAGAGACAAATAATCATTCATCGTTCATTCCTTACGAACATTTCAAGACAGAAAGACATCATACAAGAGAACGATTACATGTGCCAGTTGGACCTGAAGGATGCATACTTCCCTGTCTCGGTGGCGAGTCAACAGAGGAAATTGCTCCACATTCAATGGAAAGGGAAACTATTTCAGTTTTTCTGCCTACCACTCGGTCTGACACCGGCACCACCAGTATTTACCAAATTGTAAAAGCCTTGCGCGACGTGCAGTGATTCGAGTGATCATCTATCTGTTTGCTCGCAATCTAGAGATCCTGGTGCGTTGTCGAGAACGTCTGTTGTACCTACCACAGAATCTAGGATTCGTTATCAACAAAGTAAAATCAGTTCTGATTCCCAGTCAAAATATAAGTTTTCTGCGGTTCCAGATAAAATATCAGTCTCTCACTTTAACGCTCCCACTCTTGAAAGTGACTGACATCTTTCAGAGCCGTCAAGGTTTACTGAAACATCCAGTAGCATTAAGAACGCGTATCCTCGTCACCTGGGAAACTCTCGTTTTCAATGCGAGCTATATTCCAGTGCAGCTACATTACAGATTCATCCAAATGCAAGCATCGAAGGAGCTGCTAGAGCATCAGAGTCATGAACAGAAGATCAGACTCTCTTGGACGTCTCTGCAGGAGCTTCAGTGGTGGGTCGACAATATGTATGCCATGAATGGAAAACCCATATCGGCAGGCCATCCAGACATAATCATGCAGACTGATGCATCAAGGAACTGGAGGAGAGCAAGTTGCACCGACTCCAATATGAATCGACAGGGGGAAGCCCAATCTCGCACCCTAGTCACAATAGCCCAGATAGTTTGGGACGTGTGCCTCGAGAGAAAGAGATCACTCCGGAATCCCAGTATCTGCCGGGGAAGGAGAATCTGAGAATCAGGAGACAGAGTCTTGCAATTTTACGGAATCTAACGAATGGATCTTGAATAAACATCATATTCAAACACTGCAATCAGACAGGTGGTCCACGCAAGATAGCCCTTTTTGAATGTTGCCTCAGTCACCAACAAGAGAGATATGTGATCTGGAGATCAGATCCGCAGGCCCATTGCATTGATGCATTTCAGATGAAATGGAAAGAGGTGAAAGGTTATGCCTATACTCCATTCTCCATTTGAGCAGATGCCTCTGAAAAGTAAGAAAGAAGGGTGCAGAATCGACCCTAATAGCTCCTGTGTGGCAAAGCTCAGGTAGGGTACCCTGTAGTTCTCAGGTGTTTGGTCACATCAGGGGGCATTTTGCAAAAAATGCCAATCTATTGTCGGTCCAATGGAGACCAGTAAACACTTCTAGATCAGCACAGGGGACGACGTTGAGAGCTGCCCGCCCAACGTCAGGATGGTACTGGGACATCCGTCCAGTTTATTTTCTCGGTTTCAGTAGTGACGCGCCGCTGTACTGTTTCTATTTCATATTGTTCAGTTCGCCGTTCCTTGATATGAAAGTTATCGTAAATATAAAAGTTTCACGAGGGCCCCTTTCTCTGTAAATTTTCTGGCACATCAAATGAATGAATAAGGATTTATGGGTAATTTAACCTCGTTCCCGTTTACGAGACCGAAACCTTGAACTTAAACTATTTTAAGCGAGAGCAGACACCGCCCTTACGTGTACATTGTTCTATTCATGAAATTCATGACTTCGTGGAGCATTGTGTATCTGATGCTAATTAACACTGTGTGGAACATTGTGTGTCTGATGGTTATTAAGACTGTGTGGAACATTGTGTATCTGGTGCTAATTAACACTGTGTGGAACATTGTGTATCTGGTGCTAATTAACACTGTGTGGAACATTGTGTATCTGGTGCTAACTAACACTGTGTGGAGCATTGTGTATCTGGTGCTAATTAACACTGTGTGGAATGGTGTGTATCCGATGTTAATTAATACTGTGTGGAACAGTGTGAATCTGGTGCTAATTGACACTGTGTGGAACACTGTGTATCTGATGTTAATCAACACTGTGTGGAACAGTGTGTATATGGTGTTGATTAACACTGTGTGGAACAGTGTGAATCTGGTGTTAATCAACACAGTGTGGAACATTGTGTATCTGATGTTAATCAACACTGTGTGGAACAGTATGAATCTGATGTTAATTAACACTGTGTGGAACTTGGTGTATCTGATGTTAATTGACACTGTGTGGAACAGTGTGTATCTGATATTGATCAACACTGTGTGGAAAAGTGTGTATCTGATGTTAATCAACACTGTGTTGAACATTGTGTATATAGTGTTGATTAACACTGTGTGGAACAGTGTGTATCTGATGTAAATTAACAGTTTGTGGAACATTGTGTATCTTATGTCAATTAACACTGTGTGGAAAAGTGTGTATTTGGTGTTGATAAGCACTGTGTGGAGCATCGTGTATTTGGTGTTGATTAACACTGCGTGGAGCATTGTGTATCTGGTGTTAATCACAGTTTCGTGGAACAGCGGTGTGTGCGAGTATCTGATATTAATCAGAACTTCATGGACCCGTGTGTATCAGGTGTTTATTTTTTAATTTTGCTTTGTACATAGCTTAGCTGAATATTTGTAACGATGGTTAATTCCAAACTTATTTGTCATTCAGTAAGAACTATTCAATGTATGATATTATTATCTTGGCATCGGAATATGGTTACATGAAACATTTCGAATAGAATGGTAAAATAGTTGCACGTTTTGTTTATTTTATTCTCCCAGGAGACAGGCAACAACATTCCTGATTTGAACCGAGATGTGTATGACATCATTCCCCACTGCAAAGGCACTTGGAGAAAGACGTTCATTTTTCGCCAACATCAACAATCCCCAAAATATCACTTACGTATGTTGCTACGGAGTGGACAAGAACATCCTGGCGGGTTTATTACTTCACGGTGACACATGGCCTGATGCTTGGGTACTTAACAAGTCACCGTACAAGTGTCCTGCATCCACGATGTGGGGAGGTGCTTTCCCAAACGACCCCGTATGCTCTGCATCAGATCTCCAACTGTCGTCCTGTGTGTTGTTTGGGCTTGCGTTGGTCGTGTATAATTACATGACGGATTATCATTTTCATGGATAAATCAAACACGGTGTGCACATTACCAGGCTTATATCTTATTCGTGTGTAGTGATGTTACTCGCGGTAATCGTAATATTTATCCAAATAAAAGAGACAAAACTATTTCCATATTCATAAGAATAAGAACTACGGCCTGTTCACTACGCTTCATGGAGACACTTTGATCACGATATACAAACCAACATATTAGTCCAGCAATCTAGGCTATTTTTGCACTCAACATGGAACAAATTGTGACAAAATATATTTCACCACAATGCATTTCTACAAGGTCCCGAAAACAACATACTAAAAGTCCCAAGCAATCCCAGTTTGGGAAATATGTCTAATTTGCATAATCCAATATGGCCACCAATTATCAATATATCTTCCATATTTCATATGAGGTTCAATGTTTTGATGAAAAATGCATGTGTTGTATTGCGAAATAGCCGTATTATATTTCTACAAAAAATAATGAACGTTTTCGACTATTGACAAATTTACAAAAAGTCAAGATAGCCGCCAATTTCAAGTTGGCCAACAAGTTTCCTAAATGTGTGTTTACACTGTTGAAAGTCTTAACTCTAAACCAGTGTGCTGGGACTCATATGCATATAACTTGGCACACTAACTCACTGAAGTAAAGTTAACACTTTTAGATAGAAACTCCGTCACCTGAGTTCCCTGGTGGCTCAAAATTCCAAGATGGCCGCCAAGAGGTTGATGGCTTGACATAGAATATCAATACACTGTTGGTCTCTGATGACATATTTGAGTGTTTTGGATTTCTACATCTGGGTAAACAGACAAACAGTGAAGGGAGGGATGGAGTGAGGGGTTTAGTGAGAGAGAGATATTATGATGGGTTAAGTTAGGGAGAGATGGAGTGATGGGTTTAGTGAGGGAAAGATAGTGTGAGGGGTTTAGTGAAGGAGAGATGAAGTGAGGGGTTTAGTGGGGGAGAGATGGAGTGAGGGGATGGAGAGATGGAGTGAGGGGTTAAGTGAGGAGAGATGGAGTGAGGGGTTCAGTGAGAGAGAGATGGACTGAGGGTTTTAGTGAGGGAGAGATGGAGTGAGGGGATGGAGAGATGGAGTGAGGGGTTCAGTGAGAGAGAGATGGACTGAGGGTTTTAGTGAGGGAGAGATGGAGTGAGGGGATGGAGAGATGGAGTGAGGGGTTCAGTGAGAGAGAGATGGACTGAGGGTTTTAGTGAGGGAGAGATGGAGTGAGGGGTTAAGTGAGGAGAGATGGAGTGAGGGGTTTAGTGAGTGAGAGATAGTGTGAGGGGTTTAGTAAAGGAGAGATGAAGTGAGGGGTTTAGTGGGGGAGAGATGGAGTGAGGGGATGGAGAGATGGAGTGAGGGGTTCAGTGAGAGAGAGAGATGGACTGAGGGTTTTAGTGAGGGAGAGATGGAGTGAGGGGAGGGAGAGATGGACTGAGGGGTTTAGTGGGGGAGAGATGGAGTGAGGGGAGGAGAGATGGACTGAGGGGTTTAGTGGGGGAGAGATGGAGTGATGGGATGGAGAGATGGAGTGAGGGGTTCAGTGAGAGAGAGAGATGGACTGAGGGTTTTAGTGAGGGAGAGATGGAGTGAGGGGAGGGAGATATGGAGTGATTGGTTTAGTGAGTGGGAGATGGAGTGAGGGGTTTAGTGAGAGAGTGATGGAGTGAGGGGTTTAGTGAGGAGAGATGGATCGAGGGGTTTGGTGAGAGAGAGATAGTATGAGGGGTTTAGTGAGGGAGAGATAGTGTGAGAGGTTTAGTGAGGGAGAGATAGTGTGAGGGTTTTAGTGAGGGAGAGATGGAGTGAGGGGAGGGAGATATCGAGTGATTGGTTTAGTGAGTGGGAGATGGAGTGAGGGGTTTGGTGAGGGAGTGATGGAGTGAGGGGTTAAGTGAGGAGAGATGGAGTGAGGGGTTTCGTGAGTGAGAGATAGTGTGAGGGGTTTAGTGAAGGAGAGATGAAGTTAGGGGTTTAGTGGGGGAGAGATGGAGTGAGGGGATGGAGAGATGGAGTGAGGGGTTCTGTGAGAGAGAGAGATGGACTGAGGGTTTTAGTTAGGGAGAGATGGAGTGAGGGGAGGGAGATATGGAGTGATTGGTTTAGTGAGTGGGAGATGGAGTGAGGGGTTTAGTGAGGGAGTGATGGAGTGAGGGGTTTAGTGAGGAGAGATGGATCGAGGGGTTTGGTGAGAGAGAGATAGTATGAGGGGTTTAGTGAGGGAGAGATAGTGTGAGAGGTTTAGTGAGGGAGAGATAGTGTGAGGGTTTTAGTGAGGGAGAGATGGAGTGAGGGGAGGGAGATATCGAGTGATTGGTTTAGTGAGTGGGAGATGGAGTGAGGGGTTTGGTGAGGGAGTGATGGAGTGAGGGGTTAAGTGAGGAGAGATGGAGTGAGGGGTTTCGTGAGTGAGAGATAGTGTGAGGGGTTTAGTGAAGGAGAGATGAAGTTAGGGGTTTAGTGGGGGAGAGATGGAGTGAGGGGATGGAGAGATGGAGTGAGGGGTTCAGTGAGAGAGAGAGATGGACTGAGGGTTTTAGTTAGGGAGAGATGGAGTGAGGGGAGGGAGATATGGAGTGATTGGTTTAGTGAGTGGGAGATGGAGTGAGGGGTTTATTGAGGGAGTGATGGAGTGAGGGGTTTAGTGAGGAGAGATGGATCGAGGGGTTTGGTGAGAGAGAGATAGTGTGAGAGGTTTAGTGAGGGAGAGATAGTGTGAGAGGTTTAGTGAGGGAGAGATAGTGTGATGGGTTTAGTGAGGGAGAGATAGTGTGAGGGGTTTAGTGAGGGAGAGATAGTGTGAGGGGTTTAGTGAGGGAGAGATAGTGTGAGGGGTTTAGTAAAGGAGAGATGAAGTGAGGGGTTTAGTGAAGGAGAGATGGAGTGAGGGGTTTAGTGAAGGAGAGATGGAGTGAGGGGTTCAGTAAAGGAGAGATGGAGTGAGGGGTTTAGTGAAGGAGAGATGGAGTGAGGGGTTTAGTGAAGGAGAGATGGAGTGAGGGGTTTAGTGAAGGAGAGATGGAGTGAGGGGTTTAGTGAAGGAGAGATGGAGTGAGGGGTTTTGTGAAGGAGAGATGGAGTGAGGGGTTTAGTGAAGGAGAGATGGAGTGAGGGGTTTAGTGAAGGAGAGATGAAGTGATGGGTTTAGTGAAGGAGAGATGAAGTGAGTGGTTTAGTGAGGGAGAGATAGTGTGATGGGTTTAGTGAGAGAGAGATGGAGTGAGGGGTTTAGTGAAGGAGAGATGGAGTGAGGGGTTCAGTAAAGGAGAGATGGAGTGAGGGGTTTAGTGAAGGAGAAATGGAGTGAGGGGTTTAGTGAAGGAGAGATGGAGTGAGGGGTTTAGTGAAGGAGAGATGGAGTGAGGGGTTTAGTGAAGGAGAGATGGAGTGAGGGGTTTTGTGAAGGAGAGATGGAGTGAGGGGTTTAGTGAAGGAGAGATGGAGTGAGGGGTTTAGTGAAGGAGAGATAGTGTGAGGGGTTTAGTGAGGGAGAGATAGTGTGAGGGGTTTAGTAAAGGAGAGATGAAGTGAGGGGTTTAGTGAAGGAGAGATGGAGTGAGGGGTTTAGTGAAGGAGAGATGGAGTGAGGGGTTTAGTGAAGGAGAGATGGAGTGAGGGGTTTTGTGAAGGAGAGATGGAGTGAGGGGTTTAGTGAAGGAGAGATGGAGTGAGGGGTTTAGTGAGGAAGAGATAGTGTGAGGGGTTTAGTGAAGGAGAGATAGTGTGAGGGGTTTAGTAAAGGAGAGATGAAGTGAGGGGTTTAGTGAAGGAGAGATGGAGTGAGGGGTTTAGTGAAGGAGAGATGGAGTGAGGGGTTCAGTAAAGGAGAGATGGAGTGAGGGGTTTAGTGAAGGAGAGATGGAGTGAGGGGTTTAGTGAAGGAGAGATGGAGTGAGGGGTTTAGTGAAGGAGAGATGGAGTGAGGGGTTTAGTGAAGGAGAGATGGAGTGAGGGGTTTTGTGAAGGAGAGATGGAGTGAGGGGTTTAGTGAAGGAGAGATGGAGTGAGGGGTTTAGTGAAGGAGAGATGAAGTGATGGGTTTAGTGAGGGAGCGATGAAGTGAGTGGTTTAGTGAGGGAGAGATAGTGTGATGGGTTTAGCGAGAGAGAGATGGAGTGAGGGGTTTAGTGAAGGAGAGATGGAGTGAGGGGTTCAGTAAAGGAGAGATGGAGTGAGGGGTTTAGTGAGGGAGAGATGGAGTGAGGGGTTTAGTGAAGGAGAGATGGAGTGAGGGGTTTAGTGAAGAAGAGATGGAGTGAGGGGTTTAGTGAAGGAGAGATGGAGTGAGGGGTTTTGTGAAGGAGAGATGGAGTGAGGGGTTTAGTGAAGGAGAGATGGAGTGAGGGGTTTAGTGAAGGAGAGATGAAGTGATGGGTTTAGTGAGGGAGAGATGAAGTGAGTGGTTTAGTGAGGGAGAGATAGTGTGAGGGTTTTAGTGAGGGAGAGATGGAGTGAGGGGTTTAGTGAGGGAGAGATGGAGTGAGGGGATGGAGAGATAGTGTGAGGGGTTTAGTGAGGGAGAGATGAAGTGAGTGGTTTAGTGAGGGAGAGATAGTGTGATGGGTTTAGTGAGAGAGAGATAGTGTGAGGGTTTTAGTGAGGGAGAGATGGAGTGAGGGGTTTAGTGAGGGAGAGATGGAGTGAGGGGATGGAGAGATGGAGTGAGGGGTTTAGTGAGGGAGAGATGAAGTGAGAGGATGGAGAGATGGAGTGAGGGGTTTAGTGAGGGAGAGATGAAGTGAGGGGTTTAGTGAGGGAGAGATGGAGTGAGGGGATGGAGAGATAGTGTGAGGGGTTTAGTGAGGGAGAGATGGAGTGAGGGGTTTAGTGAGGGAGAGATGAAGTGAGGGGTTTAGTGAAGGAGAGATGGAGTGAGGGGTTTAGTGAAGGAGAGATGGAGTGAGGGGTTCAGTAAAGGAGAGATGGAGTGAGGGGTTTAGTGAAGGAGAGATGGAGTGAGGGGTTTAGTGAAGGAGAGATGGAGTGAGGGGTTTTGTGAAGGAGAGATGGAGTGAGGGGTTTAGTGAAGGAGAGATGGATTGAGGGGTTTAGTGAGGGAGAGATGGAGTGAGGGGTTTAGTGAGGGAGAGATGGAGTGAGGGGATGGAGAGATAGTGTGAGGGGTTTAGTGAGGGAGAGATGGAGTGAGGGGATGGAGAGATGGAGTAAGGGGTTTAGTGAGGGAGAGATGAAGTGAGGGGTTTAGTGAGGGAGAGATGGAGTGAGGGGATGGAGAGATAGTGTGAGGGGTTTAGTGAGGGAGAGATGGAGTGAGGGGTTTAGTGAGGGAGAGATGAAGTGAGGGGTTTAGTGAGGGAGAGATGAAGTGAGGGGTTTAGTGAGGGAGAGATGGAGTGAGGGGATGGAGAGATAGTGTGAGGGGTTTAGTGAGGGAGAGATGGAGTGAGGGGAGGGAGATATCGAGTGATTGGTTTAGTGAGTGGGAGATGGAGTGAGGGGTTTGGTGAGGGAGTGATGGAGTGAGGGGTTAAGTGAGGAGAGATGGAGTGAGGGGTTTCGTGAGTGAGAGATAGTGTGAGGGGTTTAGTGAAGGAGAGATGAAGTGAGGGGTTTAGTGAAGGAGAGATGGAGTGAGGGGTTTAGTGAAGGAGAGATGGAGTGAGGGGTTCAGTAAAGGAGAGATGGAGTGAGGGGTTTAGTGAAGGAGAGATGGAGTGAGGGGTTTAGTGAAGGAGAGATGGAGTGAGGGGTTTAGTGAAGGAGAGATGGAGTGAGGGGTTTAGTGAGGGAGAGATGGAGTGAGGGGTTTTGTGAAGGAGAGATGGAGTGAGGGGTTTAGTGAAGGAGAGATGGAGTGAGGGGTTTAGTGA